TTCGCTATCGTCTTCCTATTTGAAATGAGAAATGTGAGGCTGAAAGGAAATGGGCCCACTGAAAGCTAGATTCCCAGGTTACTAATGCAGGGCTCCTTTGTTTTCACACAACTCTTCTCTCCCACCCTCAGTCCCAAATGTTAATGTTCTGCACCTATGGAGCCACATACAACCTTACCTCTCAATCTAAATCTATCCCAACCTCTTCTCTTTTAGCTCCTGTAACCCTGCCCCAATCTTATTATTTTTATTTTTAATCCTCACGTCATGAGGACATTTTTCCATTGATTTTTTAGAGAGAGGGAAAGACAGGGAGCAATATCAATGTGAGAGAAACACATCAATTGGTTGCCTTCTGCATGCCCGGCAGAGGAGGAGCATGCAACAAGGTACATGCCCTTGACCAGAATCGAACCCGGAACCCTTCAGTCCACAGGCCAATGCTCTATCCATTGAGCCAAACTGGCTAGAAATTTTTTTTTTAAGTATATACTATTTACTGTGTTCACACGTTTAAATGGGTTATATTGCACTTAATTCTATGGCTGTTCTTTTGCTAAAAGCTCAGAAAGGTACAGTTTCTGGCCTAGGGTTCCAGAGTTGATAGGTAATTAAACTAGGGTTCAATCCCCAGTAGGCATTGCTCCAAGTCCGGAGCCCCTGCGTACTGCCCCACAGCTGCCCCTTGTTTGTCCACCTCTTATCCTTTGGGATGAGTCTGGGTCCCAACACAGAATGCATCATCCGCCAGGATCCTAGAACCTAGGGCCAGTGTCCTCAACCCTGAAATCTGTAAAAAAAAAAAAAAAAAAAAAAAAAAAAAAAAAAAAAAAAAAAAAAAAGGGAGATACATCCCCCTTCCCCCCCTTCTCCCCCTTAGGCCCTCCTTCCTCCCTTTCACCCCGCCTCTCTGGTTCAAAAACAGCGCACCAGGCAGCCCTGTGCTCATTTCCAAAAGCTGCTACCAAGATCCTCCCAAGATGAAGGGCTTCTACTTCCTCCTAGTCACCATCATCTTCCTGATTATGATCCAGGTAAGAGCAGCACCCAGCCCTTGGCACCACTGCCCAAGATTCCCCAGACCTGCTTGTGTCGGAGGAAGCAGGTGTCCACAGACTCCTGGGCACCCCGTCTTCTCCAGGCGAGCAGAGGCGGAAAGGCTCAGGGGGCAAACCAAGGACCAAGGGGGCTCTGGCTCCCTGCCTCCCAGCCCTTCTGGCTGTGTTCAGACTTCCTGAGGCTGCCCCCAACAGAAGCCTGTCACTGAGGCTGGGAGCAAGCTCAGGGTGCCAGGAACCCTGACGCACCCGAGGGGCGCTGTGGAGTCCTGGTGAACTCAGAGGCCTGGGAAGACAGCCCCGAGTGAGGGAGGCATCAGCCCACAAGGAACCTGGGGCAATGGTTTTATTGGAAGGGGCCAGGAAATGATCCTGTGGAATCTGATCCTTTTGGGAGGTGGCGGGGAATCCCCAGGGAGAGAAGCCTAGCTGTTCTGAACGTAGAGAAGGGAGAAATACCCACTCCGGAAATGGGCAACGTCTCAAAGCCCTGCTCTTCCAGGAGGCAGCTTTAGCAGCTTCCCGTGCCCAGAGGGTTCTGGTCAGTGTAAGAGCTGGGAGCCATCGAATTCTTGATCCAGAGCAGCTTGATCAAGCATCAAGAACAGCTTGAGCACCATCGAAAACAGCTTCATCTCCATCGAGAGCAGCTTTAGCTGCAGCTTGATCAAGCATTGAGAACAGTTTGATCACCATCTGGCCACGTCCTCGGGCAGGAAATTGTACTCTCCCCATCCTTCCATCCACCCACCCCCACTTTGGCAGGTGCCTTCCCATGTGACACCCCCCACCCCTGCACCCCCTCCACTGTAATGTGCTCTTGTCCCCATTCAGAATACGAGCAACCTGAGGCTCAGATAGGTTAAGCCTCTGGCCCAACTGGTAAGGTCAGGGGGGCTGGGGGCCACAGCCTCCCCTGTCTTCCACATGCTGGAGGAGCTGTGGGTCTGGAGATGACAGGAAGGTTCTGTGGGAGGCGGGCTAGGGACTGTGTCCAGGCAGTAAGCAGCCAACTGTCTCCATGGGAACCGGTGACAGACGTCATGATCATGGAACAGAGAAATGACCACTATTGCATTGGGTAGGGGAATCTCTGTCTCTAAACAAACGTGAGATTCAAAAGCCCCCTGAGCTTGCCCCACTTCTCTTGCAGGTAAAGAGTGGAATCTTACAAAACAGTGCCACCAGCAAACCCGCCAAATTCGCCAGATCCGCCACCTCCGCCGCCGCCTCCGCCAAACCCGCCAAATTCGCCAGATCCGCCACCTCCGCCGCCGCCTCCGCCAAACCCGCCAAATTCGCTAGATCCGCCACCTCCGCCGTCTCCGACAACACCAAAGCCGCCAAATTCGCCAGATCCGCCACCTCTGCCGCCGCCTCCGCCAAACCCGCCAAATTCGCCAGATCCGCCACCTCCGCCGCCGCCTCCGCCAAACCCGCCAAATTCGCCAGATCCGCCACCTCCGCCGCCGCCTCCGCCAAACCCGCCAAATTCGCCAGATCCGCCACCTCCGCCGCCGCCTCCGCCAAACCCGCCAAATTCGCCAGATCCGCCACCTCCGCCGCCGCCTCCGCCAAACCCGCCAAATTCGCCAGAGCTGCCAACAACACCTCTGCCGCCTAACCAAAGCCGCCCGATCCGCCACCTCTGCCGCCTCCTCCATTACCTCCACTACCACCACCCATGCCACCAAGAAAATCAAGGGCGGGCCCGAGCACTCAGCGGCCTGGGCAATGGCAGTGTGCTCATGCCAGGGTGGCGGGTTCCATCTCCAGTGTGGGGTGTGCAGGAGGCAGCCAATCAATGATTCTCTCTCATCGCTGATGTTTCTCTCTCTCTCCCCCTCTGCCTTCCTCTCTGAAATCAATGAATAATAATAAAAACGAATGAAATACATGCTACAAAGTGAATGGGCCTTGAATACATTATGCTGAGGGTAAGAAGTCAATCACAAAAGACTACATATTTTTGTGGTTCCGTTTATATGAAATGTCCAGAATGTGCACTTCATATAGTGACCTATCAGATCAGTGGTGGCCTTGGACTGGGGGCTGCTGTGGAGTATATGGAAGTAACTGCTAACGGGTACATACAGGGTGTCCTTTTTGGCCGATGAAAAGTTCTAAAATTCATTGGGGTGATGGTTGCACAATCCTATGAATATATTAAAAACTGTTGAAATTTATATTTTATATCTCAATAAATCAACCATGGGGGGGCGGGGGGGGGGAGAAAAGGGGAGCCCTCAACGGTGTGGCTCTGTGGATAGAGCAACAGTCTGTGGACTAAAGAGTCCCTGGTTTGATCCCGGTTAAGGGATCATTTACTTATGAACACATGCCTGGCTTTTGGGATCAATCCCCAGTGTGGGGCATACAGGAGGCAGCGGATCAATGATTCTCTCTCATCATTGATGTCTCTATCTCTCCCTCTTCCTCTCTGAAATCAATAAAAATGTATTTTTTTAAAAAAGGGGGGCGGGGGAATCTGGTCCCCAAGCCAAACCCAACATTTTTCCCCTTCTTAATGGGACTTCACCATCCAACCACAACATTTTTCTCTCCTTCCTTCTCTCAATCCCAGGATTTTACCAAATCCTGCAGGTAAACCGCCAATGTTTCTCACACATAACTCCTCCTTCCTATGCCCACTGTTGGCCATTCTAGTGCGGCTTTCACTGTCCTTCTTTGGGGCAGTCACAATGGCCCACAAGTGACTTCCCTTTTTCCACTCTCACTCCAGGCCAATCCAACAATGTCTCCAGATAAGTTTTCCCAGGATTATAGGAGTCCCCTGACTATATCTTTCCATCAGTCTGGGCCCCATGCCCCTGGGGCTGTGTCTCCTATTCCCTCAGACCTGGGATCCCTGAAGATAGGGATCCATGTCACCTAGGGACTTCCTGGGGGGGGGGGTGTGTGTGTCAAACTTTGTCTTCCCCGCCCCCCCTGGGACGCCTAAAGGTTGCACTGCTTCCCCCTTAAGGCTTGGGCTTTGAGGGAAAAGCTGTGTCCTAAGCCTCTATACACCTTTGGGGCCCGAGTCAAGACTGTGCTTGACTGACATCTTCCATCACTACTCGCCCTTGTTGGCTCCCCCAAGTGCGGGTGCCCCCAGAGCCTGCCGGCCCGGCAAGCTGCACCCTACACCCCCAAATAATATTCCATTATAGGGACATACCATATTTGTTCATTCATTCGTTCATTCATTCATTCATTCATTGATGGACATTTGGGTTTCCATTTTTTACAGTGCTCTCGGAGAGACCAATTTCATCACCTAACCCCGCCCTGGGGGCCGGGTCGCCCCCTTCTCGCGTGGCCATGGAGGGTGGGACCCCAATCCGATCCCAGGACGCAGGGGGCCTGCGGGGGGAGCCGGCCCGCTGGGCTCTGGGCCCTCGGTTCTCTGGGGCGAGGCCCCGGAATGCGCGGAGGACTCCGCGGGCAAAACGGCCCCGGGCGGGACTCACCGGGCAGGGCCGAGGAGCCGCCCCGCGGCACCGCCATCTTGTTGTCGCGCGGTTTCCCAGGCGACCAGGCTCCTCTGCTTCCCATTGGCTGATCCGAGGGGGCGGGGTCTCTGCGCGACCAGCGGGGACGGAGGCGGGTAGCCGTGCCGCGCGGTTTTTGCTGAAGTGACTTGGGGGTGAATTATCCCTCGGAGCCTGTTCCCCCCCTCTAATCCGCACAGGATTTGGAGGGGGCTGTTTTGAGTATGAATTGAAACGATGCAGGTGCTGAATAAATGTTTCTTAATTCTGAACTTCTTTGAAAATTTCTTGACCAGACGGGACTCAGAAGGGACGCTCCCGTTATGGTTCCTTTGTGTGAAAGTTCGCGGGAGACACGTCCCTTCCCCGAACCTCATCTATAAAACTAAGGGGTTAGATTAGAGCACGTCCCCGCCGCCGCTCCGCCGGTTTGAACGTGGCGGCCCGGATGTGGGCGGCGGGGCGGTGGGCGGCTGCTCGGCCCCCCTCGGACGCCTGGCTCCCGGCTGACGGCAGCGCTCGGTCGCGGCCTTCCTCGGGCTCCGTGTCCGCGCTCCCGGCGGACGCCCCGCGGGCAGGGGCGGGAGGCGTTGTGCTCGCCGTCCCCGCCGCCGGGCTACAGCAACTCCACCTGGTCGCTGCTGTCTCCGCTCGGCCACCGGAGCTTCGTGTTTGACGACGACGGAGACGCGGCGGATGAAGAAGAGGAAGAAGTGGACGAAGATGCCCGCGACTCGGAGGCCCAGGGGGCGAGCCTGGGATGAATGCAGTTGCGGGGGCGCGCCAGTGTGATTGAATCCAAAGATACCCAAGAAGAACAGAAACAGGTGTGCTTACCAAAGAGCAGCCTGACACCATGGGAAGTGTGGTTTGTTGGCAAAGAAAAAGAAGAAGGTGGCCGCCTGCAACAGAGAGCTCTAGAGGAATTTACTCAGCAGCTAGAAAAAAGAAAAGAAAAGGAAGAAGGTGAAAAAAGAAAGATAATTGCTGAGGAGAAGCACAAGGAATGGGTTCAGAAAAAGAAGGAACAGAAAAGGAAAGAAAGGGAACAAAAAATTAATAAAGAAATGGTAGCAAAGCAGCAAAGGAACTGGAGAAAGAACATTTGCAAGAAAAAGCAAAAGAAAAATATCAAGAATGGTTAAAGGAAAAAAAATGCTGAAGAATGTGAGAAGAAGAAGAAAAGGAAAAAGAAAAACAACGTCAAGCTGAATTACAGAAAAAGAAAGAAATAGCAGAAAGAAAGTTTAAGGAATGGTTGGAAAATTCAAAAAATAAACCTCATCCAGCTGCAAAAAGCTATGGTTATGTCAATGGAAAACTTACAGGTTTTTCCAATGGAAATTCTTATCCAGAACCAGCCTTCTATAATCCAATTCCCTGGAAACCAGTTCATATGCCTCCTCCCAAAGAAGCCAAGGATCTATCCGGAAAAAAAGACTTAAAGGCCTGTGACAAGTCAGCCACACAGGCCTTCATCTCTGATAATTCATAAAGCCAGAAACAATCTTTGCCTTGGAACTCTGTGCACAATACAAAGATAGTAAATGTGGGAATTTGCATGCTTTTATCTGTAGATATTTAATTTAAAAATTAAAAGTTGTTTTTTTTTTAACTGCTCAGTTGGTAGTTCAACATTTGATGTGATTATTGACAAGTTCAAATTGTTGCATTTATATATAAAGTCCTTAGAATTTATTAAGGAAGATCTTTTACACATTTTCACATTTTTAAATGCTTCAAGGTTGATCTTGTCATATTGTTTTGAAGGATAAGTGACTGACTAACAATTGTGTTTGTATTTAGCTTGGATTAAAACCACTGTGATACCAAAATCAATCAATCAATCAATCAATCAAACCACTGTGATACCAATAAAGCCAACAATATTTCTTGTGTCAAAAAATAAATAAATAAAAATTTAAAAAATAAAACTAAGGGGTTAGATTAGAGCAACGAGGTAGCGAAGAGCAAGGAACATAGGCTGTGGGCCGGCTCTTGCCTTGCGTGCCCTTGGGCAAGTGACTCAGCTTAGTTTCTTAATCTATATAATGGGGATAATAATACCCACTTTACAGAGTTTCCATGAGGATCAAATGAGAGGATTCATCCAAGGTACCTGTCCCAACACAAATGGAGAGTAAGTTTTCTTTTTTTTTTTTTTTTTATCAATCTTTATTGTTCATATTATTACAAAGGTTCCTCATTTCTTCCCCCCTCCACCAGGTTCCCACCCCACCCTCCGCCCCCTCCCCATCCCCCATTGTCCTCATCTATAGGTGCACAGTTTCTGTTCAGTCTCTTCTTCCCTCCCATTCCCCGATAGTAAATCCCTTTTCAGATAGTAAATCAGTTACTTAGCATTTTCTCATATCAATAATACCTCCACATGCCAATGATACACTTCACACAAAAGACATTTCCCAATAGGTCCACCAGCCTCATCCAGGCCCCACCCAAGGCACTCACAGATCAACACCCCAGCCCTATACTAACTCAACACATCCAGATCTAAGCCTTCATCACTTGATTCAGCAGTCCCTCAAGTTCCCGCAAAAGTTTCTAGCCATTTCTGAGAGGCAGCCGTGGGGCAGGGGCAGGCGAGGGGCGAGCTGTTCCGGGCCTGGCTGCTCAGGGCCTGGCCTCTGTTGCTCTGGTTCGTTCCACAACCAGCTGCTCTGGGTCTGGTCACTGCCGCTCCCGACCTAGTTGCTCTGGACTTGGCTGCTGCTGCTCTGGGCCTGGCCACTCCCAGCCTGGCAGCCGCTGCTCCGGGCCTGGCCGCACCCAACCCGGCTGCTCCCCCGGGCCTGGCTGCTCCCAGCCTGGCAGCCGCTGCTCCGGGCCTACCCGCACCCGACCCGGCTGCTCTGGGCCCGGCTGCCCCAGGCCCGGCCGCTCCGAGCCTGGCCACTCCCGACCTGGATGCTCTGGGCTTGGCTACTGCTGTTCTGGGTCTGGCTGCTCCCACCCCGGCTGCTCTGGGCCCGGCTTCTCCGGGCCCGGCCACTCCGGGTCTGGGTGTTCCTGGACTGGCCACCCTGGGCTTGGCCGCTTCCGCCTCAGGCCTGGCTGCCACTGCCCCAGGTCTGGCTGCTCCAGTGCTGGCTGTTGATGCTCTGGTTCTGGCTGCTGCTGCTCTGGGGCCTGGCCGTTGCTGCTCCGGGCCTGGCTGCAACTGCTTTGTGCCTGGCCACTCTAGGCCTGGCCGCCGCTGTTTCAACATTCTGTCCTTTCTTTTTCTTTTTTTTTTTTTTGAAACGCATTTATGTTGCAATGTTGGCTGGTGAGTTGAGTTCTGACTTAGTCTTTGATTTTTCAAGAACTTCTTTGTATTCTTTCTTAAGTAATTTTACTATCTTTTGCTCTCACTTGATTTCTTCACATTGAGAACTTCTTTGGTTTCTTCCTCCTTGTCCTGGGAGCTCAGCAGGTTGGCCTGTGGCACCCCTTTGTTCTTGGCGGGCTCCTGCGCTGCTTCAGCCTGTTGCCGGGGATGGCACCGCCCAGGAAGCAGCCCCCGGCCTTGGCTCCATTGCCCGCGCTCAGCGGTGAAGGCTCAGGGGCACCCACCCCCCAGGGGCCCCGTCGCCCACCTCCTTGCTGGTGCCCGGTTGGCCGGCGTCCGGTAGGGGCTCCTGCTCCATGCCGGGTTCCCCCAGCCCGGAGCTTTTTTTCTCCTTCCCGCAAGGGGAGTCCAGCATCAGAGTCAACAGACTGTCCTCTGCGCACAGTGTGCGCGAGTCCGGGGGCCCGGCCTTTCGCTGCTCTTTCCCAGACTCCACCTCACAGCCCTGTCTCCCTCTGCCTGAGCCTGGGTCCCCAGGGATTGGCCCAGAACTGGGGTTCGGAGCATTCTGGACTGAGGCTCAGTGCCGCCAGAGGCCTTGTTTCTTCCGGCTAGGTAGGGTAGCCCAGCATCAGAGTCAACATTCAGTCCTCTGCACGCACATTGTGCGCGACTCCGGGGGCCCTGCTTTTCGCCTCACAGCCCCGTCTCCCCCTGCCAAAGCCTGGGTCCCCAGGGTCTGGCCCATAACTGGGGCTCAGCGCTGCCAGTTTGGGGGGCTCAGCGCTGCCAGTTCAGGGGTTCAGCCCAGGCTGGGGGTTTTATTTCCTTCCTGCTAGGGAATGCCAGGCAGCACCCATCCCTCTCCTCCTCTCTGGCTGCGACCTCTCCTCGCGCGCGTGCGGGCGGGCGCGCAACATGTCTCCGTACCTTAGGCTTTTTTTTTTCAGCTCCTCTGATTTTCCTTCTGGTTTTCTCTTCCCTTCTTGTTGTAGACTTTTCAGTCAGTCGACTACCTGTAGCTCTGGGCAATGTCCACTCTACATCTTAGTTGTATTCCATTGAAATTGTTGTGTGCTGCGGCGGTTAGATGTCTACCCGAGCAGACATCTTGGATCTCCAAGAGTAAGTTTTCACTGCATCATCTTTGTCCCTCAACCTTCAGTTGTGATGGTCTGGGATTCTGTGACTTCTGATCTCAGGCACCCATGACATGGGCTCAGTCACCAAAGCCCTTTTTCTGTGTGGCTAAGATGGCGTTTTTTAATATTTCCCCACTAGGGGCCTGGTGCACAAAATTTGTGCAGTGGGGCTAGGGTGGGAGCCCTCAGTCTGGCCTGCACCCTCTCACAGTCCAGGAGCCTTTGGGGGGATGTCCGACTGATGGCTTAGGCCTGCTCCCCACAGGAAGCAGCAGTTAGACATTCTTAGTGCTGCTGCAGGGCCAGGAGCTCCGCAGCTGTAAGTCCGGCTTCTGGTTGAGTGGTGCTGCCCCTGTGGGAGTGCACTGATCACCAGAGGGCAGCTCCTGCATTGAGCATCTGCCTCTTGGTGGTTAGTGCACATCATAGCAACTGGTCATTCCACTATTGGGCTGAAACCGGCTCTCTGATCACCACCCCCCCCCAAGGGGTCCTGGATTGTGAGAGGGCATTGGCCAGGCCGAGGGACCCCACTGGTGCACATTGGGGCCAAGGAGGGACACAGGAGGTTGGCCAGTCGGGGAGGGACCACAGGAGGTCTCCAGGCTGTGTCCAGCTAGCCTCACTCAGTCCTGATGGGCCAGATCGCAGCAGCAAGCTAACCTAGAGGTCTGAGCGTCTGCCCCATGATGGTCAGTGCACATCACAGCAAGCAGTTGAGTGGCCTTAGCATATCATTAGCATATCATGCTTTGATTGGTTGAATGGCCGACTGGATGACTGGACACTTAGCATATTAGGCTTTTATTATATAGGATTTGACTTTCTAGTCTATTGCATTCAGGGGAGGGCAGGCTCTTTGAGGCCTTCTTGACACACAATTGGAGGCTGAAAGAAGCTAGTTACCAAGTAATGAGTGCCTTTCGAGTGCCCAATGCCAACATTCTGAGGTTTCCAGAAGAGAAAATTGAAGCACAGATAAATAAAGTGACTTGCTTAAGACTATGCAGGTAGTAAAGTCTAATAACTTAGTGATTACATAACAATTTCTATATATTCTTGTGTAGTCTTACATTGATCACAAAATTTTTTGAATCAAATGATATGAAGTGATGGATGGGAATCAAATGTTATAAAGTGATGATAATGCTAACTCAAATGATAGAGAACAACCATTATTAAAATGAATGAACATTGTAAGAGTGAAATTATGACAATGAATGTTATTCACATTCCTTGTCTTATTGGGAGGATGTAAGATATGACTTGCATGAGTAGAAGTATCTCAGGTGTCAAAATTAAAATAGCCAGAAGTATTAGGTAGAATTTTTGTTCTTGAAATAAAGAGAGTGTGTTTTTGTCTGGGGGAGAAAAAAAAAGAATGTTGCATGGGCACTTGAGAAGAATGTATATTCTGCTGCTTTTGGGATAAAATGTTTAGTAAATATCCATTAAACCAACCTGATGCAGAAACAAACAAACAAACAAACAAACAAACAAAAACTATGCTGGTAAGGGAAGCGCTCTGGCCTCGTGAGACCTGCTGTGTTCTGTTCAGTGCTTCCTGCCCAGTAAGACTAGGGAGCATAAATTGGCAGATACCTAAGCATTAGGCTTTACCATGTACCTTCCTCCTATCCAGGACCCTGAGAGATCCTGAAGCAGGCACTCAGCAAGCATCTAGTCTGTGTGAGGGAGATGGGAGCCCTCTACC